TATACCCAAATACCCGTTTCCCGTTGCCCACCCCTAAATACACATAATGGCATCTAGAAAACAGCAAGTTTCTGATTATATGAACTCTATCATTGTTTACATATTCCTCACAGTTTTAGCTTTTCTCCTGCTGGTTCAAAAGATTCTGATTTTTCCGAGTTTATGTTTGACATTGTAGGTATCAACCATCACTTCAAAACTTGCTTATTCGGGAGTGCACTGTTGCCCAATGAGACTGACGAAACCTATATTTGGGCGTTGAAGATAGTGAAGGAAATGTTGGGGGAAATTCAGCTACGTACAGTTGTCACGGATGGGGATAAAGCAATGAGGAAAGCTATTGCTAATGCGTTTCCAAATGCAACACATAGGCTATGTGCATGGCATTTGTCCAAGAATATCACTAGCAGGGTGAAGAATCGACCCGACTTTGAACCCCGGTGGAAGAAGTTAGTAACTGCTGAGTACGAGCCAGAAGAATTTGAGGAGAAATGGAATGCATTGGTAGAGGAATGTGAACTCCAGAACAACCAATGGGTGTCGAAAAAACTATTTGGGAGACGCAACGAATGGGCGGACACATACTTGCTCTCACATTTCTTTGCTGGGTTGACAACCACATCAAGATGTGAAAGCATAAATGCGGTTGTTGCAAGGTATGAAAATGAGAGGTTCTGTTTGCTTGACTTTTTCACTCAATACGACCGGTGGCTCAGAGACATGAGAGAGACATAGATTAGATTAGATTTTGAGTCTAATTATGGTGTAGTTCCTATAAAGAATTCAATCCTAAAGCCCCTCGAGCAAAGTGCAGCAAAGCTTTTCTCAAAGGCTGCATTTCTTTTGTTCAAAAATTAGTTGGAGGAGGTTATTGGAGTCATTAAGGGTAACCAAACTGAAGTGGGGAACCTACACACTTACACTGTTACCATGTTCAACAAAGAGAAGGTCATAGAGGTGAAATACAACATTGAAACAAGAGATATGGAGTGCAGTTATCAAAAGTTTAAGAGTATTGGGATACCCTGCGTTCATATGCTATTTGTTCTCAAAGAAGAAAAAGTGAAGACTATTCCTGAAAAACTGGTACTCAGACGTTGCTCGAAGAACCCAAAGTCCCTACACACTCTGGCAGAACCAAGTACATTGGGGGATGACAGCAGTTTCAGCATTAGGTACGGGTCGCTACAGTTCATGGCTCAACGATTCTGCTTATTAGGAGCAAACACTCCTCTCTCTTATCGAATGGCTCAAAATGAGTTGACAGCAGCGTGTAACAAGTTGGAGATGGTAAAGAAAATCCCCGCCGAGAGAGAAAGGATTGTCATACCAGACAAGTTCAAAGATGTATTGAACCCAAATCAAGTGAGGTTTAAGGGTTGTAGGAAAGGAAAAGGGAAAAAACAACTTAAGAAAAAAAGAAGAAAGTGTGGGAACTGCGGGCTAAGGGATGGGCATTATAGGAGCACTTGTACTAACCCCCCAGCCGACGTGGTAGAATCTCAATCTGATGAGGAGGATGACGACGATGACATGGACGATGATGGGGATGATGATGGGGACGAAGGAGAAGATGGAGACGACGATGATGGAGATGATGACCAAGGTGGTCAGCCCCCAAAGGTAATTAACATCTCTGGTTAGGTGTTCTTGATATAGTTATTAGAGTTAATAACCTACAGTTGTTATTTTGTTTTTACCAGAAGCAACGAACGAGCAGGCATAATACTACTGGAGAGCCCATAGGAAAAAGTCAGCCACAACAGAAGGTTATATATCATTTGTTTATTCACTAAATTATCGATTTGTTAGAAATGGCTATTAGCTTAAGAGTTTATTTGCCCTCTAACAGATCGGGGCACGTACTAGGAGCAATACTAGTCAACAAGAGAAGGGAGCAGAGAAGGGAGCTAAGAAGCATACAGGACATAGTGCTGGGAGTACTAGTCGGCATGATGATCGTCCAAGCGATGAACATGAACTAGTACTTTTCCAATCACACTAATGATTTAACCAGCAAGATTAGATGATTCTTTGTGTTGGAAGTTACATGTTTAATATTATTTGTTCTTATTTTGGTCTGCTACAGAAACAACATCAGACTAGAACCCGTGGTGCAAAGAACAGAAGCATCAAGAAAAACAAATGAAGTTCACTAGCACTTCCATAGCAAGAAGTTGAAACGCCCATGGAAAGCAATGACCACTTTTTATTGAGTTTACAATTTCATTATTGATTTTAGGGGACAAAATCTTTTATCTTGGTATATTTCACAAAAGTATACTCCATCGACACTTCATATTTTTGTTGGACGAAGGGTACATTGCGGGACATGAACTGTTTGCAATTGAAAGGACATACCTGGCTTTTCTTCTTTGTTTTGTTTTTTTTTTTTTTTTTTTTGTGAAGCAGACCTGGCTAGCTAATGCCTCACGGGTTGCTCCTCCATAAACTGCAGCATAAGAACAGGTAGATCTTCGAATCAGATGTTGAAGCCAAATATATGGAAACCCATTCATGTGTCTAACCAGTATAGCCGCCTAAAATTGTAACAGTGACATTGGAAATGCGTAATTTACCTCCAGTCTGAAGTGCTTTTTCAATTTGTCCACTTCAGATTTCCTTGAGGCCTCAACTTCATTACGAAGAGATATACTATCAATAGAATTGAACAAATATGTCATTTTTCGTTGACACTTTTGATTTGTTTGAGTGTATTAGGCACTGTAATCTCAAACGCATTAGAATGATGCAACTCAAATACACGATGGTAGTTTCCATTAAAAAAAATACACGAGGGTTGTAAGCATTTGAAAATGCACTCTAGAGAAGTCGGTCCCACAAAAGAAAAATGGTGCATTCTTCAATCTAGGATATGTTCAGTTCTGTAAGTATTTTAGAAACAATTCTAGTCCTTTTCTCGAGGCAATGTTTTTGAAATGGACAAACTGGGACACAAAGACAAAGGCTTAAGGGTTGAAAGCATACTAGTATGAGCAATCGATTGTGGGAGTTGAGATAACATTCAATCGCATACACATGAATTAAAAAGATCACTTTCCCATGCATCCTCACACAAAAAGCAAGGTGGATGGGTGTGTTATTTACTCTCAATTAGTTGGATTTTAGCAAGAGAGTTGGCCACAAAACGAATCTCAATTCATCACTACCGACACTACTACACGTGCCCTGATGAGAAGAGAAGTGGAGCAGGCAATTTTGATTATTGCCATCACAATAACATTTCCCCATCTTCCACATACTTATATACATGGCTTAGTAGAAAGACACTAGGTAAATCAATTTATTTTATTTCTAATTTTATTTTGATATGTGTTTGCTTGTAGCCATCCACCCATTGCACTCGGGTTGTCTGGGAGGTAATGTATTATTTTTATTTTATTACGAGCACACCATCTACGCCAAAAGCAGGAGGCACCTATAAATAAGACGTTCATAGTAATATGTATAGTTGTCACAAATAATGTCAATTGTGGTAATATTTCTGACACAAATACACTTTTCGATGTCTAGTTGTCACAAATAATTATATGCTTGGCCGCAGAATTGATTTACAAAAAATTATCCTTTTAGCATAGTTTGAAATTTTTTCAACTTGGGTCTAATCCGATATCATATTCATCATTAAGGAGATTCAGATTGCGAGTGTGTCTCATCTAACTCATAGTTATTCGACTGTCTTTTTGTTGCTCTTTTTTGTATATGGCGTAAGCACGGGTGGGCATTGCTGTCAAAATACAAAAATAAGGGTGTAAGTATTGAATCAATCTAATCGTATGTATAAATATACAAGAAGCTAGAAATTAACGGGTTAAGCACCATACTCCAAAACTCTCGCAAGAGATGTGTAGCATCTTGGAGACGAGCTTATAGGTTACTCGGTAGTACTCGGAGAGACGGAGACCGACAGTCAGCTGTAAATGTAAGAGAGAACAACATTTAGAGGTCGATTGATATTTTTTGATGATGGTAAAGGCAGAGGATTTTAACAATTCGAAAGAAATTGCAGGATGCAATTGGAATGAAGGAAGCAACTACGAGTCTACGACAATAGTGGTAGAACTAGAATGAAAAGCAAAGGGTTTTTTATATTGATTGGTACTTTCTGCCTTTGACCATCTTTGGTTGAATCCAAAAGTCCTGATTTTGGGGCTATAATTCAAAATCTAGCCCATCAAAAGGTGTTTTGGCATTAGTAATGAGTTCCAAATGTTTACATTTCCAGATATGCATTTTAACTCATAATCCAGTTTTGTGTATATTTCATCATTTTAATTATAAAATTTGTTCATTATTTTTATATAGGTAGTAATAATTAATAAAAGACGAACATTCCGATAATTTTTTTTTTGAATTCCGACAAAAAAAATTATTTGTAAATATGATGTATTGAAGTGTATTTAACTATTTATAAGGAAATTTTGAAAAAAAGAGCCGTTTGGGTTCAAAGAACCGGTGGGGGTGAATATTGGTACTAAATGAGTACATTTTTCTTTTTCTAATTCTCCAACAGGTGGAAAAATGGCAGAATCCACCCCCCCAATGCGTTTTTCCCGTATCCCCTGGTCGTCCCCGTTATTTGGAACTTTTGTCCACTTGTGTTCCATATTTGGAACCAATAATTGCATTAAATGGACCTTTTGGAATTCTGGAACCCTACTAAAAGTGAATGGGGCCATTTTTTTGGAATTCTAAAACACCACTGAAGGTGGTCTTAGTGGCGTAGAAAGGGGAAGGGATGTGTATTAGTAGAATATAAAGGGATGTGCTAGAGTTTTAATTTGAGAAGGAAACTTATTAATTTCTTAAGTAAATAAGAGATAAAATTTGGTGCAACTAAAATCATGGCATATCTTCTCCCTTCCAATGTTTTTACACGGTTGAGTTGAAATTTGGGTTCATCTCTTTTTAATTCTTTAATATATTATTTTATTAATTATATATTAAAATGATTATTTTTTGTAACACAATTTGGTAAAATGTTGGGTAAACTGTACTCATACGCAACCCTTGTGATTTATGTTGGGTTCACCCTTGATCTTTGTGTATTTGAGGCCATGTGAGTGGGAGGATTCATGTACCATTCAGTTGCTGGGGTATCCCACTTGAGGAGACTGGAGGTGGCTCAATAGAGTAGCGCGGGAACCAAGGTATTTTATCGGGTATGACAATCCTTCGCTGAGAAGATTAGTAGAACAGAGTCTTTTCCAGTTCTGTGCGGACGCCAAGGGGTCGTGATTGGCTGTTTTTTTATCTGCAGCTCGAGGTGACCAATTTATTTGTTAAAGAGTTAAATCTTTCATTTTTGCTACCGCAATATATTAATGCTCTTAGGAGTTTTACCCATTCCCTTTCTCTTTGGGGTTCAAATTGATGTAGAGCATATTCTCATATCCGCCAAAATTCTCAAAATCCCCCCGCTTCCATCCGTGTCTTCACCTGCAATTCTGCAAATGTCGAAGTCGAACCCATCTTCTTCGTGGATCGCCCAATTCAAACCGGGCGACTGGGTCGAGGTCAGCTCCGACGACCCCGGGTTCCGCGGCTCCTGGTTCGCCGGCACCGTCATCCGCCGCGAGGCGAAGAACCCTAATCGCTACGTAGTCGAGTACGACCAGCTCTACGAGGACGAATCTGGGGAGAAGCTGTTGCAAGAAACCCTCGATTAGATCCAATTACGTCCGCCGCCGCCGCCTCCCGAGAAGAAGAAGAAGGTCCAGTTCAAGTTCGGCGACAAAGTGGAGGCCTTCCACAGCGACGGCTGGTGGGAAGGGGCTATTACTGCGGAGCACTCCGGCGGGAAATTCGCGGTGTTCTTGAGAGGCTCAAAGGAGCAGATTGTGTTTGAAGAGAAAGATTTGAGGTGGCCTGTTCAGTGGTTTAAAGGGATGTGGGAGCCGCGATTCGAACAAGTTCAGCGGGAGAAAGAGGTGAGCTAATTCGATTTTATGACTTTTCCTGCTCCGTCTCTTGGTATGACAATTTTAGGGAATTCTGAATCTGGATCTAGTTAGGCTGAGGAAAGTAGAGAATTGCGTGATCAGAGATGGCATTTGCTCTTGTTCACAATGTCTCAACCTCGTTGAATCGCTTCATAAACATGCAGAGGACGCTAGAGAAAACTGGAACTAGGCCAAGCAAAGTAGCAAAACGTGAGAGTTCGTCTGAGCCAAAGGCAGACTCAAATTGTCCCAAGGAAGTGATGAAGTTCACTAAAGGAATGCAAGTCGAGGTGACAACTGACGACGACGGTTTCAAAGGTGCTTGGTTTGCTGCAACAATTATTGAACCTTCGGGTGAAGACGAGTACCTTATTGAGTACAAAACCCTGACGAATGATGATGATACTGAGTTTCTCAGAGAAGACATTCGTGCTTGCAACATAAGGCCTTGTCCGCCGGAGATCACTGTTGTGGATGGATTCAAGGTGATGGATGAAGTAGATGCTTACTACAACGAGGGCTGGTGGGTTGGCGTGATTGCAAAGGTTTTGATCAACTGCAATTACGTGGTTTACTTTAAAGAGTATGATGAGAAGATAACGTTCAAGCAGGCTGATTTGAGGCCACATCAGGACTGGTTAAATGGGTTGTTCCTTCAGAGGTCTGAATTTTATGCTCTCAATTCTCAACACACTACTAGCTTTTCTAGTAAATGATATTAGTTGTACGGGCCTGCACTCAATGCATCTCTTTCTATTTTGTTTGCCAAATTGGTTGTAGATCTTGAGTGTGTGGAAATCTGATTGAACAGCCCAAAATGTATTAGAGAACTATGGTTAGCAGATGTTTATTTTCTATGGGATTATGTTGGAAAAAGATTTATCTTTTGATGTTGAATGCTCCTATTCCTATAAAATTCAAAATTCTGTCTGAACTAGAACTTGGGGGTCTGTTTCATGAGGATTCTTAAAATGGAAGGATTCTAAGGTGTAATTGTTTGGATGAGTGATTTACAGAAGTTAATTATTGGAGAACACAGAGATTCGAAAATAATGGACACAGGAGAACCATTCTGATTTTCTTTCGGCATGCTACTTTCTCTTCTTATATTTAATCAGAACAACCCAGTACATAAAAGGCAACAACTGTGCCCACTGAGTAATTTTTTTTTAGAAACCACTTATACGATTCATTAAAATCAAGAATCAACTTCCTCAAAGGCTACAACGTCAGCTACCCTTTGTGGTAGAACATTACAATGAAAATGAGTTTCCTCAAAAACTGAAACTAGATGAGCAAACACATGAGCTTGGGACCACAACAAAACATACAAATCCTCCTTCAACATATCCGAACAAATGACCCCCGGTTCAGTTCTGCATATTTTCCATTGTTTCAGTATCTCGATTTTTCGCCTGTTTCAGTATCTCGATCACCATTTTACAACTGACTCTACCACATCGGGCCAATTTCTTTCTCCTTCACTAGTCTGACCCCATAGAGAATAGCGATTCCTCCTTTTGGCCTCACTTGACATAATTCTTCAGGGGTTTAACTCCTGCATAGACACACCAAAAATAGCGTCATTCACAATACAGGAAACAAAGTCCGATGGAAGCTTGGGACCACAACAAAGCATACAAATCCTACTTTGGGTACTCATCTGGATAATATTCTTCTCGCATGTAAGATTCCATCCTTCCCTTCACACTCCCCATGGCAACGACGTGCACATATAATGAAAGAAAATCGACAAATCAAACAAATGATATTCATAAAGCAACATATAAAAAATGAAAATTTGTTAAAGTATATGGTCCAGGTTGAAATACTTCCGCAGACCACATATTACTATCATACACTTTCTTGAAGGGTTCAGGAATAAAGGATATCGTAGTTCCAATGGTACATATTCAAGCTAAATAGTAATGGGGCATTCCTATGAATGAAGCACTCCTACATAGCTGCAATACATTCCAGAATTACTATATCATCTACTCTAGTACCCCTCAAGAAAGCGTATGACAGCAATCACATTATCTGCGCAAGCCTCAACCAAATATTTCGCATATACATGTGTTCTCAAATGAACATTTGAAACTGGAAGGAAATAAAATGATACCATCAAAATTGTGATAGAATCAAAGGTACATAAACTATCTCCCGAATCCAGCAGTGGCCTTCACAACTCTGCAAGCAATGAATTTTCTCAGTTGAGGGATTCGGACCAACAAAGAAACAACAGACGAAACAACAATAGAACGAAACCAACCTCAAATCTTTCAAATCTCCTACAGCCTTTGCGAGTTTCTTCCAAAATGTAGGAGTCAAGTGGGCGGAAAAGAACCACCAGATGGAATATGGTTCCACAATATTTATTATGAACACTCCAACTACATCTAATGTTCTTCTCCGCCCTTTGTAGACACATCTACATGTTGGGACTGGCCGCCGAACTGCCGCCAACACAACCTCATAAAAAATAAAAGAAGATCAATAAAATGGATTGGATTAGGTTACTAGTCTCCAAACTCAGTTATTAGCTAACACACATGAGGGAAAAACTGAGATTTGGAATCAAATTAATATAAACCGTGTCAACAAGCTACGAAGCCAGATATACTTACAAGTTTACAGAACGAACGTTATGAAAAACCGAACTCCATCTGATGATCTTCTGCGCTGTCCTTACAAGTTTACATGTTTTCATTCTCACAATACCATGCCTCTAGCCCAACGCACCCCGGAAACCAAAAAAACAAAAACAAAAACAAACGAGGGGATTAGGCTACTGGAGTCAGGCCTTCATTAGCTACCAAGAATAAGATCAAAAATCTATTTGCAGTTGTCTCCCCGACATCAATCTCCAAATCGTCACCCATTTCGCGCCAGAGAAGAAGACCCCTCACAACGAAGCGAGAGCCTGGAGGCAAGTAGAGGAAGGAATGAAGAGGTAGGTGGGTAGGATTTTTTCCCTTTGGGTTCAAGGCGAAAGAACAGAAGTGATTGAGAACAATGGGAGGGGGAATGTGTAATGAGCGACGACTAGGGTTTCATCTTGGTTATGGTGGAAAGGAGGGAGCAGCTGGATTGGGGAGAACGGAAGGGGAAAATGGAATTTAGGGTTTGGATTTCCAAAACCAATGCGCGTGCCGCGTGGGAGAGAAGGGCTGTGAATGGGCTGCGCTTGAGAACACATGGCCAACATGCATTGTTTCCTTTTTTTTTCCTACTAACATAACTCGTTTTTAAACAAAAAACAGGGAGGGAAAATGGGCCAACGGGGGATGGTTAGTTGGTCCCTATGTAAACAATGGGAGTTTCTTTAATCAATTTAATTTCCTATAGTTTAACACGTTGTAAACAATGAGAATACCAAGATCTGTTGAAAACGTTGTATGTCGTAAATCAATCTTGTATTACTAACCACGTTGTGTTAGAATTAAGCGTTGAAATGTTGCATTTTACAATTGTTGAATACGTAAACACCCTACGGGCAGTGGCTGAGCCACCTCTTGAGGAGAGGGGTCATAGGACTCAGTTGGGAAAAAACAGGGCAACAAAATTCTTCAGATATGTAAGGTTTAATATGATCCTTTGAATTTAGGACCTCATACTTTCGTTCATGTTAGCTCATCTAAGGACACCAATTAACTCAAACTTCATTAGATAAACGGAATTTTGCATTTTGAAAATAAAAAGGAGCCCAGTCAATTTAATGTATGGCTACCACACTCCCTACGACATACAACTCTACCAATGTTAGTATGACAACAACCATCAAACACAATGCTTGCTTTCGTACGCAATAATTCAATTCTATTCAACAACTTATTTGGGCGACAAATGATCCCCAATTCGCATTACACTACATAACTAGGATCCCAAACCAGCCTTCTTGAAATTTGAGCTAACCTTGCTTCGAGTAGGAAGACATATCCATTGCATTAATTTTCATATTATAAACCCTCTTGCCTAAACTACATTGGATATGTTTATCATCTGTTGCACGATTTTTGTGACAATTAGGGTTAGGGAGATGACTACAAAAGTATCGTTGTAGCGCATCTTTCATAGATTCAAGTTGGCTAGCTTAATTTAAACTAAAACTATAAGATTTTATTAGATTATGATTATGCTCAAGTAGTAGGCGAGGCCATTTTGCCTGGGGATACGTCCTACGTCGACCACTATACCACGACAACTCTACTACGACGCCAAATCCCTTAGTGTTATTATCGATCGAGATTTATAATCTTCAAGGATCCAACAACCTTGACCCCAATCTCAACAGTCACGATAATGGTTTGAGATATTATGTATAAACTAAAAAATTAAATAATTACTACGCCAAATTAAAGCCAGTGAATGTCATTTGGCGTAGCGGAAATAGTGTGGAAATATGACTCCTTGGATACAGGTTCAAATCCCAAAGGCAGCACATTTTTTTGGCTTCTACTTTCCATTTTAATTAATGGTAAGCCATTAATAGATAAAAAATTTCTTTAAAGGCAAGTAAAACGTTTTTTTGGTTGAATGTCTTCTACTTTCCATGTAGGAGTTAGTTTTGATTTCCTCCTGCTTTTATGGTAGGTTGCTTTTTTATAATCTTTTTTCTTTTTTGCTTTCGTTCCCCACATATCATTTGCTAGATGTTCTAATACACGAAATGCACCTTTCAGACTATGTTTCTAAGTTCTATATATTTGAACTTGGTTTAGTGTTAATTTGTGTTCTTTTCATTTATGAACTACCATTTGTTGCCTTTGTGAATTATCCATTTCTGTTTTTTGATTTGTGTTAAATTGGTTTGCCAATTGGCAGTCTCACTACATTATCTCATATAATGAATGGAAGAGATTTGGGACTAGAATGTATTAATAGTAGCACTTTTATGTAATTCTTACGTTGTAATAATTCAATGGAATTAAATAAATACTTTTGTAATAATAATAGAGGGAAAAATGAAAAAAGGACTAATTTGTTCAAAGTACCATAACTAAATTAAATTCATATTTTACATCAAGTACCACCTCAAAAGGATAATAAACTTACAAAAGATAGTAGCGTTCACATATCCATTACGCTTACAGATCATTAGAGATTACAGAGAGGTGGACCATTACTAACATTAATCCGATCATATTAATAATACCCAATGCTACTTAGTTATCTAAAGGCGGGAACAACTTTACCAAGAAGAGATCTAAATAATTCCCCACGTTGTTCCAACGACCGAATGTGACCAAGACCTCATTTGCCTTCTCACCAATCAAGTTGAGAAGTGTAACATAGTCCGCATTTTCAAGCTCAGAAGGACTGACAACAGAAGACATGATTCTCCATAAGTAAGCTGATGGGAACACGACCTCAACATCAGTAATGTCATCTTCAATGGTCAAGTGAATCAAATATACCCTGGATGCCTCACAATAAGATCTCCTCAACTCTGTTACAACGCCAGAGAAAATGTACGACTTGCCTTGATATAATCCAAAACATAAGGAGTTCAAAATAATACCAAATCAGATGCAAATCATTGAGATAAGAGATAGAGAAGGATAGATAACAAACATGTTATCTTAGTCACCTGATTACCACCATTCAATTGCATTGGAATAAGATCTATAGTTTCCACGGTCTCCCAAATTGCTACGGCAGTTTGATAGTTTAGATTCGTAACGAAATCGTCTCCCATGGTAAAAAAAACCCATAATTTAGATCATTAGCAATATTAGCAACTGTATTGAGAAGTGGTGAGAACACAAGAATATGTTTATTATGAGTTGGTTAGGAAGCAATTACTTACGGTTCCATTCAGGTATTATATCCATTTTCAAATATATGTCAAACTTATTTCCTTCTACTCAATCTCTATTATTGGAAGTAGCTGCCTTTTTTAGGATCATAAAAATAAACAATGTTAGTTGTTGTTTGGGACCACAATGTATATTACACTTCCAATGTTGAATTAATAACCAATAATACCAATTCGTATTCATTTGAACAATACCAAATAGACTCTGATCAATTATATCAACAAAGGTTAGAGTTCTTATACACTAATCAACTAATCATGTAAAACAGAATATAAACAAACAATAGCAAAGCAAGACATGACTCTGTCAATCCTTCGATGAATTTTTCAATTGGACCTGGATTTTACTTCTTTTGACTTATTCATCTTTGATTCTTACATGGATAATCGATTCTTAACTATAACAATATATACATTTTTATGGAACTTCAATGGAAGCTGTTATACCCATGACTGAACTCCACTACGTATTAAACAAACAATATACAATGGTTTGGTTGTATGCAACACACACTACGTAATCAGATCCAAGAAAATAATATTGAAATATACTTCCTCAACTATGGATTAATGCTGTGTTACAATCGAATAAATCATAACTAATCATGTTCCTTATTTTAATAGATCCAACCACATTGTATGAGAAACCATGGAAACAAACGCACCTGTGGAGCTCGCAAGATTTTGGTCGGAGTCTCGAACTGAAACACTTTCTGAAATCCAAGATTTTAGTAGATCGGGAGAAAACAAAGTTCAATGATAGTATTCGTAGTCCTGTTTAGATGCATATACCTTCACATAATCTGGAATCGTTTTGGGCACCGTCGACTGGATTATCAGAGGCTAGAAAAAACTTCGCTGCTGTTGAGAGACTGAAAGAAAAGATGTTGCGATGTAGGGTTTGGAAATCAATCGCTGGAACTGAGAATGTAGTCGGTCACGCAGACAGGAAGACAGGGAACGACGTCCATGCAATGAATTTGGTGGCCCTTTGCTGTCTTCGTCGGAGACTGAACAGAGGAATGGAAGAGAAGAAGGAAACTGAACCGTTTTTCGTCTTTTGATTTTGGGTTACTATTTCTTAGTTTAATAATTTTACTCAATTTATAAAAGTAAAGGGGAAAAAATTGGGCATTTAATTCAATTGAGCCTGGATGCCTTATGGCTGGATTAATGGGCCTCTAGCCGGCCAAAGGGCTGGGCCCGGTGCTAGTAATCAATAAGGAAAGATTAACCAATTAATTGAAAAACTAATTAAATGCGAGTCAATTCCATTTCTGTATTTTATTAATTACTCAATTTCCAAGTGGCTGTTTTTTATTAGTTGAGAGTACCATGTCAGTAAAATGACGTGGTGATCTCGGAGCATGGAAGAATTTCTATTGCATCCACTCTATCTAAAAATACCAATGCTATAGTGCCACATCTACAAGAACCACTCGTGTCATATGCCAAATTCGGGACCTGCTAGTCTGCTACCTGCCACTCAGGTGGTCTTCTGCACCAAATACAATCACATACCCTATAAAACATATTAATGGAATTCCAACATTTTATCCCTGATTTTAAACGTACCCTAAAGACAAACCAAGTTATGTAGCCAGCCTTAATTGACAAATGTGTGTCATTTTCTAAATCAATATAGTGTAACAAGCATTAAGAACACAACTACATTAAGAACACAAATACCAATTGCTTCTACACAACATTTAGGATGACAACTACGTTTTCAGAAACCTTTTGCTTCTCATACCAATGTCGATTAATTTCCTACCATATAATAACGTGATGCAACATAAGAATAACCAATATTAGGTTCAGTACGACAATCACTATCAATAAAGCTCGAATTACATGGATTTCATGATTAACTCTCCTTCCTTCAGCTAGCATAATTTCATGTGCCTTCATCCATCTTGATAGCTCTTCAGCCAAAAGTTTCTTCTCCTTCTTCCTCCTTTCCGCCTTACACTCAGCTAGCCTCAAACTTTCTTCAATATTCAAAGTCGAACACCCAATTTCAGAGTCATGGTGCTTATCTTCATCGACATTCATTCGCACCCACCTAAAAAAACGACAGTTCTTCTTCTCCTCCTGCACCATACGAGCATTTAACTTAGAACCCACATCAATGACAATTTCAAAACCCATATCTAAACACCTTACCATCCAAAATGGACACCCATAGAACTGTCTTCCTTGGTTCGCTTCGGTTCCAGAAACTAGAAGAAGATTTGGGGAAGAGGAGTACCGCCCCTCGGCTATTGATGCTAGTCGAAATTGAGGAAGATGCTCGCTTGGACATGGCTGACCTTCGCGTGAAGTTCTGGCCAGGAGAAATCGCGATTTTGGGGTCGCGAATCGGCCGAGAAGAAGTGGGATTTGGGGAAGAAGGAAGAAGCGCCGAGTCATTCAGAAACTAGAAGAAGATTTGGGGAAGAGGAGTAAGCATCGATCAGCTTCGTGTATCTCCTTCGTGGGGAAGAGGAAATTTGGGAAGAACCCTAATTTTGTTTTCTAGAAAGAGATGGAGAATAAGGAAGCCCTAATTTCGTTTTCTGGAAATAGATGGGGATTTTTGGTAGCCTCGTGCGATCAGGTAGATGGGGAAAGTTTTAAATTTTTTTAATAATAAATAAATTATTAAGATGACGTGTCAATTTTTGCTTTGTTGTCGCTGACGTGGTTGATGATTTGGCGCCTCGTAAGCGAACCGTCAAATAAGTTGACGGAGTTATTAACGCGGTCATAGTTTCTAACGAAAATGGCTATATCTGGCACGCAAGCAACATCTTTCAAAAGTGGCCGTTAGATTAGATCTACGGTAGAGAATCATACAAGTATTCATTCCATAGCCTAACTCCTTCGATTTAAAACTAGATCGTCTAACTAAAGCATGCCATCACTATCAAATTGTATCGATTAAGATTTGCTATTGCTAATCTCAATAATCCAAATTGTACCAAATAAGATTTGCTATTGCTATTCTTATTCAGTTATGATAACCAATACATTTCACAAACACTACAAATACGTTTTAGTTAAAAGGCCATTAAAGATTTGCTATTGCAAACCTTAAATTGAAACTAACTAACATTTTATTAAAAATGTTTTAACCCGGACAAAAACTGGTGTCTACAAGTAGTATGGAAGGTTTATTGTCCAAATGCATGGTATGCACATGTAGATAGCTTTTTCATATAATATAGTCACGGTAAAGCCATTGACTTCTATACAAAAATTGTCGTCGTCTTCATTTATTTTGCTTTACTTCCTTAATTATTTTTGTTATTATGTTTAATTGTTACAACATATGTATACAAAACGTGTACATTTAAACTATCAGAATACCTGTACATCATTGATGGTTAATATTTGTATTATCATCGCAAGGTTGCCTGTTCGATTCTCCATATTCTCTTATTTCTTTTACCCACATCCATGTAATCATGTTTCAGCTACGCTTGTGGAACGACGTCGTCCTGGGGACACTCTCGCTTTAGCAGCAAGCACAAACGACGACGTTTGTCATGTCTCATCGTCTTCCCTGGGCAGTAATTGGAGATAACCATGGTTTTGATGGTTGTTGGGTTTTGATGGCTGTTGGTGAGATAAATGGTTAGCTATGGGGTATCTTGGGTGAACAGATAATGGCCTTTTGGATAGTCGAATTGGGGTGTGGTATGTTGATGATACAGTAATTTGAACCAAATTAACATGAATTTTGTTTCATAACTTTTCATTAGGCAACTGATCCCATTTATAAGTAATTGAGAAATGTTTCGATAAGTATAGAAAGATACAAGCAACAATTCATTAAGAAGGGCAGAACCCGTACAAAAAAGCATTGTGTTCACACACTTAGTACACTTGCATAACAAGAGAAATAACATTAAGGTGGACACTAAGCAACTTTAGTAGATTCTATTGACATTGCTGAAATGGTATTCAGTTTCCGGGAGGAAAAAATAATTTTACCAATAACAGCTCAAAATAACTCGACACATTGTTCCAAGGACCCAATGTGACCATAAACTCATAGGAGTTTCCACCAATCAAGTTGATAAGGGTAACGAAATCGGCATTGGCCATATCTTTATCACTTACTACATCTGAAACAATTTTGCGCAAGTTTCTCGATGGGAAAACAACCTCAATATCCAAATAATCATCCTCGATAGTTAGGTGGATCAAATGAACTCTACATTCAGCACACCAGGATGTCTTCACCTCGCCGACACGTCCGGAGATGAGGTAAGAAGTGCACTGGTGTTTAAAACAAGAAAAGGAATTTCAAAAAAAATTGACAAGCATTAACAAACACAATAATTGCAAACGAGATCGAAAGGATGAATGACAAAAAAAGTTAATTTCAAATTTTCAATAACCTCATCGTCACCATTCTCTTGCAACAATGTAAGATCGATTGAATCCGACAAAATAGACATATGTACTGCTTCCTCATACTTCAGCTTTGCAACGAAACCAGGCTCAACCATAAAGTCGCTATAAAAAACCCGTTTGACGTTAGTAATGGCATTCAATAGGAAAAGGAAGCGGAGTAGACTGTCGTAACGATTAGTTGGTAAACAATACTTACGGGTACCATTGCAATATATCATCCATTGTCAGAAAATTACAGCACGGAAACTCTACTCAATTTCTGGTTTTGCACGTACTGTGGATGTTCAATAGGAGTATAAGAACACGTTATGATCAACTATTCTAATAGAATGTACCAAATAGTTAACAATCAATTAAAGAAAAGTACCTGCGGCGGTGGAAACGTGGCCGGCGACACCGCGTGGTTAGTCGAGCAGATCAGGAACGAGTCAGCGGCGGAGGCGGCAAGCGACGATGGTGGCCCGCTCTTCTTCCCACAACCGACATGGTTAGTCCGGGCGTTTTTCCTCCACTCTTCTTCCCACAACCGCTACAGCGAATCAGCGGCGGAGGTGGCAGGCGACGATGGTGGCCCGGAGGAGGAGACCGCTACTGAGCGACCAGCGGTTGCTTGACGGGCGGAGGCGGAGACATGCAATGGAGGCGGAGGGAGGATGAGGGCGGTTGAGTATGTGTCTGATCAATTTGAAGGAAAACCGAGAAGGCAGCGCATGGGGAGGGGAGAAAAAGCAGAAGATAAATCGTTTGCTAGATTTGGTAGGTAAGTAGTCTTCCAATTTTCAAATTTGCCATTATTGTTCTCTGTTTTATTTTATTTTTTACAATTGATTATTGTTAAAGAGACAAAGGGAGGGCAGGGGCAGCCGCCGATCTGCTCGACTAAGCCCTATTGGGCCTGGTACAAAAGGCCTGCTTAGTTTAGTTTTGTGTTTTAATTTTACAAGAACTCATTTTATAGTTATATATATAACAGTGGAAGTATATTGAATCAAAATCCTTGTTCAGCATGAATGGTGAAGAATGCCCATGGTAATGACCAGGGATGTTGGTTCGACCCTCATACCATTACAAATATTTTTTGTTTTCAGCTACACCTATAGAACGACGCCGTTCTCTAGGCCACTTTCGATTCAGAGACGAGCACAAAACGATGCCGTTTTTTCATGTATCGTCGTCTTCCCTAGCCCCCAAATTCCCAATTATCAGGCAACTTGTCCCTTTTGACTTGAACGAGGTAACTTCTAAGAAACAATCCACAAACTGGATGCTGAACGCCTTTACACATTTCCACAAGATCCTTAAGCACGTTTTTGGGCGGAGCTTCCTTTGTTTCCATATACACTGATCCAACCGTACATAGTAGATACCTGGTAACGAATACCACGTTTCAGCCTCACAATCCACTATACTAGCGCTCGCGAAATTCAAATTTATTCTAAGACGAGCTTCAACAGTTGAATTACCCCAACACAGGCACTGGTAAGTAAGAACTTACAGTCTAGGCAATATGTTGCCTGCGTGGTGTACAAGCTCATACAAATCGACGACCGAAACTCCATGCCTGCTCTCGTCCTTGAAGAACATCTCCAGCTTCCTCATCTCATCAAACGCTCGCATATCTGCAAATCCTCGCCAATAATGTTCAATCAGTGTCTAAACTCTCTTCGGTTCGATGAAACAAAATCAGAGTTCTGAGTTTGAAGAGAGTTCAGAGAGCGAATGAATTACAGAGCTCGTAGTACTTGTGAGGCGACAACTTCGACGTCCGGAGCTCGGAAAGCATTTGAGCTGAGTACTTAAGAGCATCTCTAAGATTATTAGCGTCCTGAGAAGACGAAGAAGAACAATCGCAAATTATGTTTTCCATCGCCGTACCGATTCAATGGAACGAGAAGAGAACATAGAAGTAGACCGATAAACTGATCTCGAGAAAGAGTTGTCGTAATGACGATGATGGTGGTCTAGGATTGTCGAATTAGGGCAACCTTTTAATGGAACTTTATTTTATCAATTGTATAATTTTTGGGTGTTCATTAAAAGATCTAGAAGAAATAAGGTATCATCTGAGTTCTCACAAAAACGAATAGGTATCATGTGAGAAAATAAAACGCAAATTATTATTGGGGGGCTACATAGCACATATAATTATTTAAGGGGTGCAAGTAATAATTATTATTACTAATTTTAATATAATTTATAATGACCGTTAGATTATATCTACGGTAGAGAATCCTGTCGCATAGTATGTGTCTGACGCATACGAGTCGTTTCCATATATATATAATATATATATATATTCTATTTGCACAAAAACCATTAAAGATTTAGTTTAATTTGAAAGATTTAGAGTTTAGAGATTTAGGGTTAGGGTTTACAATTTGGGGTTTAGGGATAGAATTCGAAATTGGAGGTCTAGGGCTTAGGGTAATCCGCTAATTAGTTGTTATCATATGTTATATCATCATATTAAACCAATTCTAAAAATTAAAATTCAAAATTTGACACCTTAATACCATGGTAAAGGAAACCGTACCGGACATCATACCGGATTCCTTTCTGATAGGGTATTTTGTGGTACGACCATGGTTCAACCGTTTCATACCGGTAAATACCATTTTTGTAATAATAAAATATATTTTCTGTCAAAAAACCGGGCCGCCAAAATCAGAGTATCGTCTCGGAGTAATACCAGATGTATCGGAATATACCGGACAATATATACAACTAATTAGCAAATTAATAGAAAATTAAAAAAAAAAAAAATTTTAAACTTCCCCATCACTTATCAATTATCACCTTCCTTGGTTACTCCCCCGCGTTCAACTTTTCCCTCTCTCATCTTCCATTCTTCCTCCTCTCTCTCTCTCTCTCTCTCTCCTGGCTGCCCCACTCTCCTTCACTCTTTTATATTACCCGGGCAAAGCAGGAATAGGTAACAACCCAAAGAAGATATTCCTTTCTCCTCGACCCCCAAATTGGACGAACACCAAATCCGATTTTCCCTCCATTTCCGACCGCCGATCATGTCTGGTTACCCTTACCACCCTCCGTACGGCTACGGATACGGCCCTCCTCCACCGTCTCAACCCTACTGCTCATCCGGCGGTCCTCCACCGCCACAACCCTACGGCTCATCCAGCAGAGAAGGCGGATTTAGAGATGAAAACCGTTGCAGCCCGCATGCAACCGACGGCAGGGACAGGGTCGGCACGGCGCAGAGGCAGGGTCGGCGCGGCGGAGAGGAGGCTGGTACGGCGACATTGACCACATTTTTATTACCGCCGGTCTGATTTAAACCGGGCGGTATACCGGTTCATGCCGGTTAAGCCGATTAAACCGGCCGGCGCGATAGAAAGGAGGCTGGTAGGGTATCGTTTCGCCGCTGGTCGGATTCCCGGTTTTACCGGTTGATCCGGCCGGTACGATTCGGTTTCCTTTACCATGCTTAACACTAGTTTTTGAGTTGGGTGCATTGAACGCACTCATTTTTGTGAGTACACCGAAGTAGTCACCATATATATAATATACATATATAATTAATACGTATACTTATCCGATCAATCGATATTTCGATTTTAATTGAAATACTATCAAAACACTCAATTTAAATCACGTAATTTCTAGCAATCGAAATATGGGTTTTTCCGAAATGGGATGTTACATAGGTGTTGATGTCGAAGCAACACTAGCATGAGATGTAATATGACGTAAAATATGGAGAGGAAGCGAGTAGAGGCCATCCACCGCAAAGCCATGATATAACTCATGTCCCTTGCGATGCTCCTTGATGACAAAAGAAGAATAAAAAAAAAATCAATAGAGATGAGGTTGACACGGTTAAGAGAACTATTGGAAAGTAGATTAAATAGTCTATCTTTAAAACGAAGAATATTATTCAACAAAAGGATGTATTAGAAAGAGAGGCTTTAGAAGCGCAAAGATGAAAGATTGGAAGAGCTTTACCATTGTCAAAGGTCACTTGATCAGTCTAAGTGATGATTAGTGTCGAAGTCCATAAGTCACTGTTGAGAATTGAAGTTTTGGGCAAGTGATGACTCTGAATGGGTTTGTGGTCCACTAGAGGGTCGAGAGTTGTATTTTGGGCTTCGAAAGTGTGCTGATGTGGCCAGGATCCCCACTATTATGATAGAAGAATTTGTTTGGCCCGAAAAGGCGCAACCCAAGTATACCAGCGGACAGACCTATGGGATTAGACATGCTAAAAGAATACAAATTTGGTTTAAGGAAAAAGAATCCTCGCCTCGCTCCTTTTGCACGTCCACAACTGCCTTTGCCACATGTGCTCTTAGCCTTAGAGAAAAATGCAGAGAGTGAAGTAGCCATAGTCTCCACCTTCGTGGCATACTTGAACAGTTGAATCTCCTCGATGACACTATCTTCAAAGGATATAGGCTCTTGTCGTGATTCAATGTGTAAAAAAAGAGCGATACATCCCATCGACTCTATCGAGGATCTATATGATGAGATTGTCATCAACCACAAGAGCTCCAACCACAGCCAACTAATCTCGCGTCGCCTTAGTGACGCATGATCGGATCTCACCCGTCGTAGAACTAGAACGCTGCTTCGAAATAACTAGAGAATGCAATAAAGAGATCTAATTTAGTACTAAATACTAGAATTTATCACTTGTATGAAAAATAGAAAAGCAAATGTACATATTTATAGGACCAATACTACAAAACCTTTTCTCCAAAGACAAGAAAACTCAGCCATAAAACAACAACAAGTAAACAATTACTTTCTAGACAAGACATAATAATTAATAACAATCCTAGACACAAACTAATACGAATAACCAAATAATAACCAAATATTCCAACTAATACTTAATATGAAAGACAAATAATAATCACCAAACTCGCCCCACGATGTTATAATGCATCAATCCTCCCCCCTTTAAACAACCTTGTACTCGAGGTTGCCTTCCATAGCCTCTCCTTCGCCACCTTCCTCCTGGAAATCTCCAATCATGACGAAGATGTAGCACAACCCGTCGCGACAACATCTAGAAGCTTCCTATGGCAATAGATTGCGA